ATCTGTATAGAGTGCTAGAATTTCTCCCTAGCTGATTATCATTGTATTTATATCATATATAAAAGACTCCAATATTTCAAAAGCTGTAGTTACAGATTTTAAATTGTACTTTCAAGAGTAGTTACTTCATTTTGTGATTTGTAAAACTAAAAAGAACGAGAAACATTTATACTTAGAGATTTCATGGTCTGTTAGTTTTTTCCCCTAAATGGAGCTTAAACATGGGTGACCTTGGGCTGCAGGGAGCACTTGACCTCATGAAATCATACCTTCCTTCATGGCCCATGAGAATGGCTGGAGAAAGGCGTTTTCCTGAAGGAACTCTCCATGGCATTCCTCACCTCCCGCAATGTGGAGAGGCCACTTCACAAAACAAGTGCCTGGGATGCCCCACAACACAAGCCATCTCTGAGCTTGAGGAATTTCATAACTTGTATTTGTTTTGGGAAGAGAGACCCACAGATCTATGTGGCTGTGGTTTGTTATGCTTTTTAAAAGGTCTTTATGTGCCTATTTCTTACCCCAAAAATATAATGTTTGCCCTATTTCATATAATAAAGGCTTTTTTTAAAAAAATAAATAAGAGGAATGGCAATAAGGCCTTTAAGCAGATTGTATCTCAAAATGTCAGATTTGTTACCTTTCTTGATGAATAGCATTGAGTTATAATTATAACATAAATTTTAGTTGACTTTTGATCATATTACAGTCATTCCTGGCTAAATAGGTTCTTTTTCTTCCTCAATTATAAATGCCATTCATACACATTAAAGAAAAAATTGTGCAGTAATGAAAACTTGGAGAAAATTACCCAGAACCTCACCAATAAAATTCAGACCTTGCTAACTTTCTGTTTTCTGTTTCCTTCAAATCTCTTTTTGTTCTATGACTTGAAGTTGATTGCTTTATTTTTATTAAATAAAGATAGGGCTGTAGTTTTCTTTCTGATTATAAAATTAGTAAAAATAAAAAAAAACTGTGTAGAAAATTGAATTAGTATATAAAATCACAAAGATGGAAGTAAATATCACCCCAAATTTTCCCACCCAGCAGAAAATCTATCCTTTCAGTCATCCCAACATCATCCCTACACACATGTACAAAGTAGCAGACTCCCTGAGACATGCTGCTGTGTAACCTGTTCTACTCCAATCTACAAAAATAAGCCACAGGGGTCTTTCCAGGTAAAGGCAGAGTAAGCCTTTTTATGATTGCATCACTGTCCATTGTTTTATAAGAACTTGTCATTACTGGTCATTAGTTCCCTGTTGATATTGAATGGTTTAAACTAGGTGAGGAGAGAATAAATTCTGGTTTAGAAAAGATGATCTCAGCATGGATTCACTGGAGAGGGAAGAGTTAGAGGCAAGAATGAAGTAGTCCAGGTGAAAAATTATCAGGTCTTGAATGAAGTCATTGGCAGTAATGATACAAGCTAACTTTTATTTAATTCTTACTATGAACCACACATTTTTATCACTGAAAGAAAAAATACTCCATAAACCTCAGTTCAGTAATTCTTAAACATATCTACTAAGTACACATGAATAACATAGGACATCTGTCCCCTAGTAGCAAGCTATAGAGTCACTGCTACCTCCACCTCTATGTCATCAGGGAAAGGGGACTAGCCCGTATGAGGAGAGGCTGCTGAACAGAGGGACTCCTGAGGCCTCTCAGACTGCAAGTCCATGAGGTTCCCTTCCCTCCTTTGAAAGATCTGTTTCCTAGGATATCTGGGGTTCGAGGAGAACATGAAGAGGTATTCTACAAGGGAGAGATGGAGAGAGTGGATTCTCAATTTCTTGTGGTAAAATGCATGTAATGTAAACCTTACCATCCTAGTATTGTTAGGTGTCCATTTTAGTTCATTAATGTACTGATCAATGATTCAGTTCATTAATGTATTAATCAAGTTCATTAGCATTGTTGTGCAGTTGCCACCAACATCCTTCTCCAGAACTTTTCATCTTCCCAAACTGCAACTCTTAAACAACTCACTATCCCTCCTTTTAGCCCTGCCACCCACCATTCTACTCTCTGTCTCTGTGATTCTGAACACTCTAAAATCTCATAAGGGGTGATACAGTACTCATCCTTTTGGGACTGGCTGACTTCACTTAGCATAATGCCCCCCATGTGTACACTTATTTTTAAACTATAGGCCCAGCGCACGAAATTCATACATGGGGTGGGGGGGTCCTTCAGCCCTACCTGAACCCTCTCCAATCTTGGAGCCCTCAGGGGAGCCCTCTACAGTCCAGGAGCCATGATGGCTTAGGCCCACTTCCTGTGGTTCTCTGCTCTCTGCAGGGCCTGGCCGCTCTGCACCCGCTGCCCAGAGCCCCTCCATGCTAGGGTGGGACGCTTGCCTCGTCGCCACAGTGACGAAGCAAGCATTCTACCAGCCGGCTCACACTGCTGGCTCTCAGAGGGGACTAGGCGCCACCATCTTGTGACTATGGGCACTACCATCTTTGTGATGGAGTGATGGTTATTTTGCCTATTACTTTTTCCTTAGGTAAGATAATGAAATATAGGTACAGAAAATGGTATAAAGCATCCACAGAGAGTTTAATAGATTGTTGTAAAGCAAACACTCATAAAATCAGAGCAAGATCCTTGCCAACACCCTGGGAGCCCCAGTGAAACTCACCTGATCACAACTTAGCTGCTCTAAGGGTGGATCTGTGACCATCATGACACCATGTTCCTTAGTGGGGCAGAGTTCAGTGCTTTATGCTCACCAGCTGTGTGTTGGCCAGGACCGCTGCATGTGGCAGTGTAGCCCAGGCTGAGATTAGGCTTTGTGGCCTTGGCAAAGGTACTCTTGGGAATATTTTTTAATATATATATTTTTTTATTTCAGAGAGGAAGGGAGATGGAGAGAAATAGAAATATTAGTGATGAGAGAGAATCATTGATCAGCTTCCCTCTACACAACCCACACTGAAGATTGAGCCTGCAACCAGAGCATGTGCCCTGGCCAGGAATTGAACTGTGACCTCCTGGTTCATAGGTCGATGTTCAACCACTGAGCCATGCCAGCCAAGCTTCTTGGGGATATTTAGAATGGACACTATGTGGTCTCTGACCATAAGAGGTTATAATCTAGTAGAATCAACTTTACAATAATGAGAAGATACTACTAGGCATATAAAGAGAAATAAAAACAATCTCAGTCTGCTCGAGAAATACTCTGTACACGTATCTTGCTCCAGCATCAGAGGAATAGAGCAATTAAATTTGGAGAAGTGGCAGCCAATTTTTTTTTTAATTGAGGAGTTAACTGACAGAATAGTAGGGATGATGGGAAAACTCTTTCAAAGGTGCTGCTTATGGGAGATGAGAGCGCAGTCTTGTCAGAGATTGAAGTCCTTAATGAGAACATTGTGAACAATTTGAGAAGCCCAAGGGTGGTAAATCATGGGGAATGGGCAGCATTTATCCCGATGGTCTAAGAGAAATAAACTGTGGATGGGGATTCTGACAAGGAGGTGCAATAGATCCTAAGACAGCCCTGCTTCTAAAGATTGGGTGGCTGTAAATGCAGGGCTTGCCTTTTAAAATACTGCCCAGGGAAAGTCGAGGACTACAGGGAAGCAAACCTAATCTCCCTCCAGAGGAGCTGACTAAAAGCCCGATGTGTGTAGAACGGCCATGATTCAGTTCTATTGTAACATCCTTCATCCGGGAGGCTCAAGTGGCTTTACCTGAGGAATGCTTATAGCTCCACCCTGGAATAGCTGTGCATGGGCACCGGCTCTCCTAACAAATACAAAAGCCATAACAGTCCACCCATACTCTGTGCCTCACTGGCTCACCTCCCCCACAACACTAGCAGTCTATGGACAGGGAGTCTCGAGTTTTAAGCAAAATACAGTAAAGCAGGTCACCATGAGAAACATTCTGACTGCATTTGCATCCATTCCTGTCATCTATTTGGAAGGGAATGTTTCTCTTCTAAAAACAGAATTCATTTAGGAAAATAATTTTTACATCCCCTATTTTTCACTCATTAGAAGTTTCACTTTTATTCATTTAAAAAAAAAAAACACAAATTTGAGGGGAAACCAGGTATGTGCCAGGCCTTAATCTCAGGGTCAGGAATAGAACAGTGAGCAAAAAAAGGAAAACATCTGGCCTTATAGAGTTTTTTGAACTTTTCTTTTTAAATTATAGATTTTCAAGGAAATAACTGATGTTTCTCAATGGTATTTGTGGAGAAAATTTTTCATTCAGAAAATAATTTAAATATAGATGATTAGTCGGGGGAGGAGAAACAATTGTAATAATCTGAACAATAAAGATTTATTTTTTTAAATTAAATATAGTTGACTAACACCATAAACACAGCTACCCAGTACTTGTGTGCCAGACATCAAGCGTGGCACGATGTGTTTTCATTTAATCCTTAAAGTGGCCCAGTTTGAGGCATGTGCTGTCATTCCCTTCTCCAGATGCATTGCTCAGCCTTGCTGGCATAATTGAGCCTCATGCAGTCCCATGACTGATGGGGAGAGCCTGGCTCTACCTGCCTATCTGCCCTCCGGTGCAGAAGGAGGGCTTAGAGAAATCATGGACGATGACTGAAGTTAAAACCACGTCCTCACCTCCCAGAAGGCTTGGCTGTGGTTTATAACCATCATTTGTCAAGGTGGTGTCATAGGCAACCTTCAAAATCTCAGGGCTAATATGTGATTTAGTGAAGTTACTAAACTTTCAATCCAAGAAGAAAAATCCTGTTGTGATTCAGAGGACTCTTATGCGGACGTTTCAAACTCCCCCCAACTCTACATAATGTCCTTAAATGATCAAAGAATCAGTTAATGTGATCTACTGTGAAATGCAAAGAATTCTAAGTTCTTACCAGTCTTAATAGCAAAATAGGAAATAAAACAATATGGATGTTGATGGTCTCCATGAATGCTCTTTTAATCCGGGGCTCTGAGCATCTCAACAGATTGCTTTTGTTAATGGTTTTCATTTTTCCTTTTCAGATGATCATTCCAGGGTGAGGCTGCAGACCTTAGAAGGAGACAACAACTCAGACTACATCAATGGGAATTATATCGATGTATGTACCTTGAAACTGTCAATAAGCCTGCCTGTTTTGACACAGACTACATGGTGTGCTTGCCACAGGACTGGTGGACATATGTTGTTCCCGTTCCTGAAGCACTTACATCAACATTGCCCCCTATACCACAGAACTTTACAGTGAGGGTTTGGCCACTCCTTTTCTCAAATCAGCCTCTTTGCTGGTAACTTCTCTGTAACATTCAGTGCCTTTTTGCCATCCCATGTCAATGGGGACTCAGAAAATGTTATTTCCATTTTTTGTCAACAACTTTGATTGTTAAAAAAAAAATCTGTGTGCATATTAAGAGGACAAAACTCTCTAATTCCTAATTCAATGATTTGCCATCTCTTGTCATCACTGCACTTTTAAGTTGCCTTCAAAGTAGTCTGCAGCTGTTAACCAGGACTTCTGATGCACGCAAGACGTGCCCTTAAATATGCAAGCTGTTTAATTATTGAAGACTGCTTCTTTGTTCATTTCTGCATCGTGTTAACTTAATGTCTTACATTAGAATAAATTCTTTAGGCGACAGCATATTTCCAGTTGAAAGAATGAATGAAATCAAAAGTAGACTGAAAATCAAGGGAAAAGTTGCTGTTACCGCTACAGCCCAAGTTTACATGGAGCAGATTTCAGTCCTCTTACAGTTCCCAAGCCATTCTCTGTTTGGCTTCACACTATTTCCTAGTCCACCAATACTTCCATGGACAGGTTTTATGTATGTATTCTTTTATTTTCTTGGTTGAGTATTACTCAGATGCTATTAAAAGTCCTAGCGTTACAATCTCCAGGAGTTACCTAAAAATAACTATAAGAATTTTTTTTATCCTATGTGGCCCAGTAATTGAGCATCGGCCTATGAACCAAGAGGTCATGGTTTGATTCCTGGTCAGGGCACAAGTCCAGGTTGGGGGCTTGGTCCCAGGTGAGCAGCATGCAAGAGGCAGATGATCAGTGATTCTCTCTGACGCAATGGCCATTTTTCAGTCCTCATCTAATTGATCTATCAGCATCATGAATGCAGTTAATCTCCTTGAAATACTTTCTTCATTGGCTTCTATGATATAGCACTCTCCTGGTCTTCTACCCCACATCAAGGTGAAGGGGAGGAACCAACAAATAAATGGATAAGGCAGGGAGGTAGGAAGACCAGGAGAGTGTTATATCCTGGAAGCCAATGAAGAAAGTATTTCAAGGGGCTTAATTGCCTTCATGTTGCTGATAGATAAATTAGATGAAGCTTGGGAAATGGCCATTGTGTTTAACGATATAGGTCATTAATGGACTGTGTGGATTATTTCAGTTTAACAAATAAGTTCCTCCCACCTCCTAGCACCTTGCTAGCACTGACATATATAGCAAATGAGCGAGACCAGGATCTTGCCAGGTGGAGCTTATCAGCTGGCAAAAAGTGAGGGATTATCTAAATAATCATATTTAAACTGTGCCATGATTCTATGTTTGAAACCCATTGTGGGTCAGTTGTACAAAAGAATGTGTATGCTTTTGTTGTTAGTTATTCCGTTGTTCAACCTGTTTTTAAGAGCAAAACAATCTAACAGGTATGCATTTAAGTTGACTAAAAAAAAAAAAAAAAAAAATCCCTATTTCCTCTTTAAGTCTCTTGACTCTGTTTTCCACGTGGCTTTGGGTGTGGTATTTTAGGTCCTCAGGGGGCAGAGATGGAAAGTATTAAGGTCCGTGGTGACATTATGTTTCCTGTGTGTAATTTTCTCTAAGTTGACTTTATCTTTCCCAGATATTGATCCTGTGGTGTTCTTTGCCCCCGTCTTTATGTGGTCTCAGTTTTCATCTTTTCCCTTCCTATAGGGTCACAGTGAAAGGAAGGTGGTCTTGTCTAATTGCTGCCTCTTTAAATTCCTGGTCTTTGCTACAACGTCACATCATGGTATTAGCAGTGTTTAAGAATGATGTTTACTATTTCTATTGATATAACTGCCTATACCAATATAACAGAATATGTGTTAAAGACTTGGTACGTTGCCAATAACGCCCAACCATAAATGAAATTTTATTGTACATTCTCAGACTGTTTGCACTCTTCTAAGAGTCATGGTCATGTTATTTCAGAGAATCCATACATTGTTGGTGTTTATTGCTCATCTATCATCTCATAGCCAGTGTACAGTTCAGTTACGCACACCCCCTCTGCAATATTTGATACACCTTTGCTTATTAAGAGAAACTCAATGGCACTTAATCTGATAATTACCTTTCAAGTGATGCAACTGTTGGTATTTGTTGATGCCTTCATTTTGGCAAACTTAGCATGTGACCTCTGTGCTGCTTACCAATTTTAGGTTTGTGAAATATTCTTTCTCATTTATTTTTAGGGCTATCATCGACCCAATCATTATATTGCTACCCAAGGTAAGTTTATTTCAGCTTTAATGTCTTTCTTTAGTTATTTGCCCATTCTCTATTATTGTGTGCCTACTTCACCCTCCCTTGGATATTTTCACACTGCTATAGCATCATTTATTGCAGTTCTAGTCACCAACACATACCCCCTGTTTTATCAGCAGAAGTTCTGGTATGTGATGGTTTAGTTAGAAGTTAATGTTGAGATCATTAGAATAATTGTATTCATCTGTTCATTATTGAATTAAATCTCTATGCCTTAGGAATTAATCTGACATCTAAAAACATATATATTCATTAAATGTATATGTACTGAACATCCTCTGTGCAAGGACCTGTGCCAGTTGCCACCAGAGATGCAAGCTGACTCTAGCAAGCTCTCTTTCTCACACCATTTGCAGTTCAGTGGGGAAGATGTGAAATGATCTATATATTAGTACATACAAAATCAATTGAAAACTTGTGTGAGAGGTACAGAGAAAATGTTAGGGGAACTTGGAGAAGAAAATATATTTTAGATCAGATGTAATGATCTGAAAACAGTTTCGTGGCAGAGGTGAGATTGGGAGAACTTCTAAAATGGCAGAAATATCCTGAGCAAAGATCTGAATTCAAGAAATTTGTGCTCCTGAGTGGAAAGCAGATGATGGGTCACTTTAGCTAAAGGAAAACTGAAATAAAGCTTTAGGGACATGTTGAGGAAGTTCATGGCCTGGTTTTTTATCATCTTCCCCACCAATTATGAAACAAGTTATCTGTGGAGAATGAGGATCATGAGAATTCGGAGGTTTTCAGGAACAAGATATCATAAAGGATGAATTAGTGAGTCAATGAAAGATGAATTGAGGTGCTAAGAAGCAGAGAGGATCCAGTTAGAGTTAAAAAGCATACGTTTTCTCCATTTTATTATTTTATCATTGTTTCCAGTAATTCATTATATCCAATAAACAAGAGCAGGAAAATCAAAAGGATATGACCTGCCAATGATTAGGGGTTAGCAGGAGGCTGTACACATAACATCAAGATGCATGGAAGTCAAAGATGCCAAAAACAAAATCATGGTTGGAAGGTCTAGGCTTGGTGGCAGGGAGTCATAGATGTCCAATGGACTGCAAGAAGAGGGAAGGAGGCCAGGTTCAGTTAAAGAGTCACAGAATAGGAGAAAAGGCCATTGTAGCCAGAGAGCCGAATCCCAACACTTCTTGCAACACTGTCCAGGAGACTTCCTGCAGTGGTGGAAATTGTCTATCTGTGCTGTCCACTATGTTGTCCATCCCTTCAAAGTCTTCTGTGGTTTATCAACTAAATGCATGTAATATTCTGAATCCACTGATGTTGTAATAACAGTTTTTATGGCATGTTCACTGGTAGATTCCATACGGAAAACCACTCTTTGTGGTTTTGATATTGTAGCAATTCCATCACATCTTCATCACAAGTTCCGACGATGATGATGATGATGATGATGATGATGGCTCCCCAAATTACAATATTAACATCAAATATCACTGATCATAGATCACCATAAAAATATAATTAAAACTTTTAAAATGCTGAGAGAATTCCCAAAATGTGGCACAGACATGAAGTGAGCAAATGCTGTGGGAAAAATAGGGCCAAAAAAAAAAAAAGAAAAAGAAAAGAAAAATAGGGCCAATAGATTCGCTTGATGCAGGGCTGCCCCAAACTTTCAATCTGTAAAACCATCTGCAAAATACAATAAAGCAAAGGACATTAAAACAAGGTATACTTGTATGGTATGCTGCAAGCATAACTGTGGTCACAAATTGCCAGTAATAAAGATTTCTGATCATTTGCAGTAATTGGCATGGAGAGGTAGAACATGCACATGGATCACCTTCATTCAAATAAAAACACAAACACCTAAGAATCCAACAAAATGGATGATAAAGTCTAACAGACAAATGCAATGTTTCAACCTCTGCTCCCTTTTTCCCCTCTGTTTTGCACTGATATAATTCTTTAAAACCTATTCACAGCAGGAACCCATGAAACTGACAACCACTTTCATTCCCAAGAGTTGGAAATATATATATTTTCAACAAGTTCCTTCAATATAGAGGGCATGTCATGAATTTATCTATTTAGTCTCTCCCCCTCCTTCAGCTTTGTTGATTTTTCTACCAGTAACTGTCTTTGACCTTTGATGATAATAGTAATGTTCCTGCAAATTAAAGAGACCACGTTCAAGCCAGATCTTTGGCTTTTTTTAGTATGTTCTTCCTATTTCCCCTCCATTTAATTGTTTTCCGTCTGGTAGCTAACACTTTGATGACCCAGTCTACACTTCATCACATCTGCCTGACCAGCCATTAATACAGCTGTAGCATTCAGGATTTATGATTAGGCACACCAGGGATCAAAGGAGAGGAAGCACGTGTGTTACTCCATGACCGCACTCAGAGCCAGGGCAGACTTAGGATTTCAAAAGCATAGTTCACTGTGAGGGGCAGATGAGTACGCAGCTGGGTAGGATTGCTAAGAACTTACCATATTTCACAATGAAAAGGTACCCGGATACCCCCACAGAGTCCGTGTGGGCCTTGAGCTGAAGGAACTTAGCATGAGTTAAGAACACATTTAGAACACATTTAGAACCACTCCAAAATGTTTCGGGAGAACACCTGCCAGCCACATGGTGTGCAAGCGAGAGAGCCCTGCAGAAGTGTTCTTTTTATTATTGTTTACTTTTATTTTCAAACTGTCTTCAAGACTGTTGCTTTAAATAACTCAGAAAAGATGGTGCCAGGTTGTTGGGGAAGAAACTCAATAAGTCGGTGATGGGCAGGGCCCTCCCAGCACCAAGTCCCTCTTCCTCACGTCTAAGCTCATCTGTGGGTTGGACACACAAATATCAGAGGATCCTGCCCAACGAACCTCCCTGAAACTCCTTCAGGGGGAGCAGCTGTGCATCATGAAATCTGAAGGGCATGTCATGTCAGGTGGCAATGCCCCAGTACTTGGCTGGGATATCTGGGAGCTGAAAAAGGGATAGAGGACCTGTTGGGAAATGGGAGGAAGGAGACAGGGCAAGACTTCAACGGGCTTTGAAGAATGAGTTCCCTTATCAGAGGACTCACTAAATGGGAGGACTACTGAGGTTTGGGAGGCATACCGCCCCCACAGAAAAGTCTTTGCCTCTGTGGCTTCTTGAGTTTCCTTAATCATTTATTGAAATGCATCTTCTCGCTGGAAAAATTCACATGTACACACAATTTTACATAGCTGTTTAGGCACTCACAGAATAAAACCCAGGCTGAAAAATCTGCACACCCAGATAAAAACCCTGAGCTAAGAACAAAGGACTGAGGTAAAGTGAGGACTTGTTAAGAGGCTTTGAATAAGGCATGTTATTTGATGAAAGGCAGGGAGACAAGGGGTGAAAACAGTGCTTTAAGTAGATTAATTGGTGTGGAATTATCCCGGATAGAAACTGGAAACAGAGATAATAGGGAGTAGTCACAGAAAAATCTGGGATAGAAATGAGTAAGTCAGACAATAATAGCAGCAGGGCAGTTGTAGGTTTTATTTTATTCAATAATCTAGGTTGAATGTGATTAAATAAGTTTTCTAATATGAATATATTATAGTGTCAAAAACTGTGATTTTAAGTGTGTTTCCTTCTCATTTAATGAAAAGTGATAAATATATTTTCTTTCCATATTAGTAATTTGGGTTGATAGAATACTTTTCTTTGTGAAACTCAGCATTTTTATTTGTCTATTCATTCAATAAATATTAAGTGCCTATTTTGTACTAGGCTCTGTGCTATAACCAATGTAATGTATTTTCTATCCTCTGACTACTTTATGATTACTCATCTCATTTCATGAGTATCAGAATTGAGACCCATGAGAGGAGAAGCAGGGGTCGGAAACAGAACTAACATATAGCTGTGTGCTGCCGTGTGTGGACAGGGATGCTAGTAATGCATGATGACGTGCTTCTCCCCCTGAGAAGAGGCTCAGAGCTTATGCTCCTTCCCATATATAGCATGCTGCCTCTTGCACAGACTTTATAAAATACACCCCTCAAGATATCATGTTTAGTCTTTAAAAAATGAATCTATAGCGCAACCTCTTCCTTCTAAGTTATGCTTCTCAAAGAAACAATTTTTCTATGATACAGTCATATCTGAAAATGCCTCTTAATTAAAATTATCTTAGCTGTCCTCAAATATGACTCAGAGCATCTGGGATCTCCCTGTTCCCACACAGGTGTCTGAGACTCTGTGTGGAGACCCATAAGTCCTGTCCTGCACAAAAAGAGACCTTACATGAGGCAATCAAGACTAAGCTCAGAGCTCCAATCCAGTAGCCAGCCCTGTCAAGTTAGCACAATTCAGACAAAAGAAAAGATGAAGTGGACTATACCCAAGGCACTATACTCAAGAAGAGAACCATGCATGAATGTTAACAGTGCAGAGTTAAAGTTACATCTGTTATGCTCAGAAACTCTGGGTGCTGTGTGGCATGTTTCAGGACTTCAGGTCACACTGGCATAGTCTACGGGGACTGAGATGGAAAACCAGATACAGATAGTTGTTTACAATGAGAATGAGAAATGTCACTGTCCATAAGACAGAACTGCCCTCAGCCTCGCAAGGACATTTTTGTGTCACAGGCCAGCTAAAGAGGGAGATACCTGGGCAGAATGTTGCCTCATGACCTCACACCAGAAAAATGCCCCAGAGCACATTCATGGATTCAACAAGTACCTACCAACCAACCATGTGGTAGAGAGCTGGCCAGAAGCAGATGCTGAATGAGAATACAAGAATGAGTGAGTGGATGAGTGAATGAATGAATGAATCGGGAGTTACTGTGGGCCAGACACCAATTAAGCAGTAGAATATTCCAACTTGGCAAGAAGGTTATTTCATGTTGGCCCAACAAAGCATCTACCTACCTGCATGAATTTGAGGATTGTCATCGCCAATACCTGTGATTGTTTTCTTTTCTAAGTTAAGGGCTAGTCAACTCCTATTA